ATTCCTGTTCCACTTGCAAATCCTAGGAGTATTTTTATTGCATTCTGGCCCCTTTTGAATTCAAGGGTTTCTCATCTGCAGGAAGACAGAGGGCTTATTTAGAAACCAGCTAGCAAGAACACAAAAGCTGGTAGGCACTTCAGTGCCATTTTTTGGGTCTTGTGGCACGTGATTAAGTAGGAGCCGGGACACTTCTTGGCTGCTGTTGCTTAGCATATAATAGCTCCATTCACTGAGCTGACAAGGTGCCAGAAGCTTGCCATGCATTAGCTCATTCCTTTCTTTTTTGTGCCTTTCTGGCTGGAAGGGAACTGGGGAGGGTTGCTTGGGCTATGGGGTCACTGACAGGCCTTGTGGGGTATGAGGATGGTGTGGGCAGGAAACCACTCCTTATTCTGAATATATATATAAAGACCTCCCCAACTATATTGCCTCCCAATCTGTTTTTCAGTGGCCTGTTCCCAGGCTCTCCTCTCCAAATGATACTACTGCTTGGAGATTGTGTTTTTGGAAAAGACATAAATGGTATTAGGAGAAAAAGTAGGTGGCCCAGTTTTTTTCCATTCTGACCCAAGTCAAGCTGGTTTCCAGAATGTGTCTCATCCACTTTGTTTTCTCTCCTCACCCCTTGCACTCCATAATGAAGAGTAAGTATTTCATTACTGGGCTTCGCAAACTAGGGAAACTGATTAAAACAATTACCTTTCAGCTCATTCCAGGCATCCCACTTGGCCTTGCCTTTGAAGTCCAACATCCCAGGCCGTTCTTAAACAAGAAAGAGAAAGACATTAGATTGACTTCAAGTTAATGGAGAACTTTATCAACTTTCTTGCCATGAAAGCCATCTTTTATTACATCCTTTCCTTCTACACTCTGTCAAGAAGTTAAATGGGCCTAGAACGGTGTACAGAAATCCAAACTCAAAATCTGGAGAATAGGATGAAAACTATTCTCATTACTAAAAAGTCCTTGTCTTATAAGTAAAATAACTCCAAAATGTCTTTTAAAAATCTGTATCTTAAACAAACAAACAAACATAACATCCATGCACATGGCTTAAAATTCAAATCCTACAAAGGGGTATACTATAAAATTTTCCTCCTACCCCATTTTTCTCCCTCAGGCATTATTGTTATCAGATTTCTGGGTGTCCTTTCTTGTGATGGGTCTGTTCATATCTTTGCCCCATTTTACTACCAAATTGTTAGTCTATTTCTTGTTGATTTGTGGGAGCTTTTTCCTGAGGGCAAGTTTAAGTTATACCATAATTGTATACTAACAGACCTGTTATCAGTTGTACTTGGGAAACACACTCATTACTTCCCTGCTTACTTATTTTACTGCCACGCTGAGAACAAAGCCAAGGAGAGCAATCGCAGTGCCCATAGCATGGACCACTGTGTTAGAGGAACATCAAGTCTTCCCAAGTGCTTTAAGGGAAGCATTCCCAGGGATACCTGGGAGAAGATGCACCTACAGAGTCATCATCCGAATCTTACAGCAGCACACTCCAATAACCTTTCTGTGACAATGGAAATGTTGTACATCTGCACTGTCCAACTCAGAAGCCACTTGTCACTTGTGGTAACTGAGTATGTAAAATGGTGGTTTGTGTGACTGAAGACTGAACTTCTGATTTTTTAAAATTTGAACTATTTTCAGTTGAAATTTAGGTGACTACTGTATTGCATCGTGCAGCCCTAGTGTGCTGATACTTCCCTGATCAGGAAGTGATTTCCAAGTCAGTCTACCTAACCTCATGTGAAAGCAGGGCAGAGGCCAATGTCTGTGAAAATACTGCCTGGCTGAAGAGCTTCTCAGCCAATCTGGTTATCTCTACTTCTTTCCTCTCCCTGGGAGGACATGTAAAACTCACTTTCACCACAAGACCTTTCTCACTTCAGCCCTTCCTATAAACCCAAATTTGATTTGGCACCTTCTCTTGCTTTCAGCTGGCTAGCAGCCAGTACACCTGCTCCACCCTCCACCCCAACTGCAGTGGAACTGGGGGCCATGCTCACCCTCCTGAACAGGGGTATAAGTGATGGCCTTCTGTGCTGCCATGGCCACCATCTTTGAGCCCTTTTATGAACTGAATTGTGCTGTTGCCTAATATATATCTGAGTTCTAGGGACTTTGAGGCAGAATAAAAACTGGCCAAGGCAAGAAAGGCAGTATTATAGAATAAGGTAGTCTAAACTATGGTTTCAAAATTTGTACCAAGACTTTTTGACAGAGAACAAATGGTCATCAAGAACTGTTTCAGTAAAAACACTCTGACCTGCCCCAGGAAGCCAGCTGCTTCTTTGCTTCTGATATTAGGCTTGGCTTGGCTCCCAAGTGCTCCAAGACTTTGATCTTGCTCATCTGGTGTGGAAGCAGTATGTTTTAACAAAGCTACTACTGAGCAGAGAATTTGGAGCAAGTCAGTTCCAAGGTGGGGCCTTTGGAAAAGGTGGGAAATGCTCTTGATAATCAGTGAAGTCTTTCTAAAACTAGGATTTGAATTCTGCTACCTGAGCTACCAAAACCAGTGCAGGGTGTACGAACCCCATCTAGGGACATGGTGTTTGCCTCTCCCAGCTTAAACCCCAGGAATATCATGAAACATCACTATGCCCTGCCCAAGAATAGGACCTGGGGTGGTTTCGCGTGAAGTTCCCACAGAGTAAGAGTTCCAGTACCAATCGAGGCCGCTGAGCCTGCTTTGATGAAGAGTCCCTCCCAAACTCATCTCAGCATACCTGTATTTATGTCACCCACAGTCGCTTGTTTGTAGTGGCTATAGATGAACAGCATCTCCTCGTCTGATGGCTTGGTCTTGAGGTTCTTAACCTCCTCAGCAGCTTTGTCAAACTCTGCCTAAATATGAGGGAGAGGAGAGGCCCAAATAGAGCTCAGTAATAGGGAATAGAGGGGTTGGAAATGCAGCACTTCTGCTGCAATGCAAGTGAGGAAAAGACCCTTCCCCTCATCTCCCCTCTTCTCCACAATAGGGCAGCTAGAAAGATTCAGCAAAACAAAGAGGGGAAGCACTTCGGTTCATTTATTTGATCAACTACTATGTATAAGGAGCTCTCGCTATACCAGGTCTCAGGCACTGGAAATACAGTGGTTAAGAAGGCAGGCTAAAACTACCTGCAGTGGGAGTATATTTAGCAGGAAAAGCAGCGAGGCCAACTGCCTGGTCACTACTGGGTCTGACTGGGGAGAGGCCAAGATCCCAGTGAAGCCCTGACCTGTGGATAGGGGTGACACAGTGTGCTTGAAACAACTGAGAGAAGGAGACAGAGTATGAGTACAGCAGGGTTTGTGGCCTGACTTCGTTGGCCCCCTTCCCCTGGGGCTTGGGCATCCAGCGCTGACCTCTGTCCCAGTGATGGTCTGGAGAGAGGTGAGAGGAGCCAAAGATCGCCCCACAACTACATTTGAGGGAGGGAAAGGCCTCTGAGACACCTCTCCCCAGGCGCACCCTTCCCCTCCCTCACGCCGGACACTCAAGCTCTCACCTCCGTCTCCTTGCTTGTCCACTTGGCATGGTGCTCCTACTCCTGTCCTGTCCTTCCGGATGGGGGACTCAGTTCCCTTACTCCTTCAATCCATGCAACCCTCCACCTCCCATCTTTCTACCTAGGACCTTCACCTACGATTCCTATCTCTGCTTCTCCGCGAAGTCCACCCGATGGGCAACTTTCCAGCAGTTGCGGGGGCGGCTAACGGCGCTGGGAATCCCAAACCGGAAAGTTCCGCTTACAAGGCTCTGTTCAAAGAGTCAAGGTTGGGCATGGGTCCAGTAGGAAGATCGAAGCCAGGAAGGGAAAGACCTTGCGGAGTTCTGTCTGCGGGATGGTTCCCTCAACCGCCTCCCTCCCAGCTGCACTTTCGCAACGAAGCTGGGCACGCGTTATACCTGAGACATGCCGGCAGGGTTGGTTGTAAGGATTCCAGGGAGCCTGCGGAAGCGGCGACGAGCAGGAAACAGTGGCACAACACTGGACTGGCAGCGCCTTTAGAGGAGTAGTCGCAAGCCTGTCCTACTAAGCTCGGGCGAGAGACGGGCAGCCAATCAAAAGCCAGCTCTACATTGGGGGCGTGACCATCCGTAGCAGCCCGGCCCGCGTAGCCCTACCCCATGTAGGTCTGCTCGCGCACGCGCAGAGAGGAGCCGAAGGGGACGCCGGGAGCAGGTGGGGATGATGGGAGCAGGTGGGGATGATGGGAGCAGTACGTGTTTAAGGGAGAGGAGAGGGTTCATTGGTCTCAGTGGGTTTCATTTTCAAGCTGCTGTGGTTAGTGGACCACCAGGCAGAGAAGAGGGGGTGGGGGCTGAAGAACCAAGACTTTTAAGTTAGCTTCATTAAATCCTGTGCCCAGCCTCCGGACTTTCACCTCTGGGCAAATAACCTCTCAGCGCTGGGGAGGGCAAGTGGGCCATTTCAGGAACCAAGAGGAAATCCCTGGAGAACTGCGCGATGGTGGGAAGCTGGACTGGTTCCCAGAAAGGCGAAGCTAAGGTCTCTTACTCTGAACATTTGGCACGTCTGCCCATGGTGTTAATTTGCAGCCCTGTATTGCACATTTTTGTTTGTGGTGCGGTTCTTAATCTGGTGCATTATAGGCAGGGACAGGGTCTCATTTGTCTTGACTTTAACAAACTTGGCCAGGGCTAAGGGTCCGGCAGACATTTCTTAAGCGAATGACTCCTTCATTCACAATTTTTACTGAACTCTTGTCAGGTAACTTACACTGGTCTAGGCCTTGGGGATACAGCAGTGAACAAGACAGATAAATCCTTTCATGCCTAGAATTTATATTGAGGATAACAGTTAATACAATAAACTAAGTAGAAAGTTTGTTAGGGGGATAGGGAGTTGAAAATTTACAGTTTTACATGTGGGGAGGTGGTGGTGGATGTAACATTTGAGAAAGCCCCTCATGGAGAGAAAGGAGTATTCCAGGCAGAAAATTAGTGTGAAGATGTGAACAGGGGGTGAGGGAAAGGGTAGAAAAAGATGAGGCTAGAGAGTTGAGGTGGCAGGCTAGATGGTGTAGAGCTTGGCCTTTATAGGAACTTTCACTTTTATTCTGAGTGAGAGGGGAAGTCAGAGGCTTTTGAGCAGATGATGATGTATCTGAGGGGGCAGGTCTTTGCAGGATTGTTAGGAGGCTGATGTTCTCCATGGCAACAGAAAGGAGCAGCGCAGGTAGATGGGAGCGTTTGAGAGTGATGCCTTAGACACTAAAGAGAATTTCCTGGTGATAACAAAGGACCTGGGTGAAGGGAGGACTTAGTGGAGAATTCTCTGGAGATCATTTAAAAAAGATCATTCCAATTCCTAATTTGTGACAAGAGGACTGGAATACAAATCTCCCTCCTTCCTCCTAATTTACACACGTAGGTGTTTAGAAAGAAAGGCCAGATGGAAGCTTTCAGAGGTGACATTGTCAGGCTTTATAAAATGTTTAGCAAGAAGTAGATACAGTAGCAAGGAACAGATCTAGAGTCTTCAGTCTATAGATAATTTTGTTTAAGAAAGCAAAGCCAAGCAAATTAACAGAAGTCTTGGCGTTAAATTTGAAGAAATTACATTTGAAATTTAGGTTTCTTCTAAAATGACAATTCAGAGCTGTTTTTTTCTGTCTGAAGCCCACATGAAGCCTGCATTCATTTTTTCTCCAAGGCATTTGCAACTTCCTTGATGGAAATTTAGATTATCCCCTCTGTGGGTCAGATTGACGGTCAACTAGGTGTCCTAGTTGGCTATTTTAACATTAGATTATTGTGTTTGGTAATTTTTTAAATATTCCCCAAGGATTGTTTGATGTGCTTAAGTTTTGATTGGAGCTAAATATTGTAGAAAGCAATATTAGTGTTTTAAATTACTTGGCAGTCTCCAGTTTAAGTGAGGTTGATTTGTTGGTTGCTTCATTGGAATATACTCCATTTCTCTAAAGAAATTTTTCCACAAATGGCTTTGTGCTCAGGTGAATCTACTAAAGTTGTTTAAAGCAACTGAAGTATGGAACTAGTAAGGATTGTGGATCCCAGGGAGCAGGGTGCTAAGTGATCTTGACAAAGACGGAAGACTGTCTTTTCTTATGACAGGGCCCACCTTAGGCCAAGTTTTTTGATTTTTATTTTTTTTTTATAATTGGCATACAATATTAGTTTCAGGTATATAACATAATTAGACATATAACTTATGAAGTGATCACCTTGATAAATATAGTACCCATCTAACACCATATATAGTTATTACAATATTATTGACTATATTCCTTATGCTATACCTTACATCCTCATGACTTTTGTGAATACCAATTTGTATTTCTTAATCCTAGGCCAAGTTTAAGGCCTACTATTTGGCCTACTTCCTGCTTCACTTCTCAGTGACCCATATTTGATAATCACCACCTATGGAAATGTTGCCTTAAGCCATCCATTTACCATTTCTACTCTAGGAAATTGGAATGGCATTCAGATTTTAACATAAAGAGATGGTAAAAAGCCAGCATCTAGGATTTAACTTTTAAAAGTAAATTTTAGAGTATATTGGGGTCAATAAAGTATATGAATTTTTTATTCTGTATTTCAGCAGTGTTAGGGCATTTTTCTTCATATCCCAAGTAAGTGCAAATTTCTCAGCTCTATCTATATACTTGTTTGTAACTGTCACACTTTGTAATTATTTTATTTACAGTTATTTTTACTTAATTTATTGTCTGAGCCCCCTCTACATAAGCCAGGGAGGATAGGGATCACTGTGTATTGGTCAATGCCTGTCTCCAAGTGTCTGGCACTTCTTAGGCAGTCAGCTAATGGTGGGTGAGTGAAAGGGATGCTTTTCAACTATGAAATATATTCCTTCTGATTAGCCATGAACTTGGAAACCTACTAAGTTTATTAGAATTGATTGTGCAGCTGTAGGCTAGAGTAAAGTAACTTGCCCTCACATTTCTTGGGATATCATTTTGACTTCTTAGAGGCTTCACTTGCTGGGTCTTAGTGTAAAGCCAGACAGGCAAGATATATTAACAGTGGTGAAAGCAGTTCTTGCCCAGTGGGTGTGAATAGTAGTTTAATATTAGGTTTCTTGGTATAAACTAAACCTCTAATTCTAAAAGTAACCAATCATTGAAATGGACTACAGTTACAGCAAAGCTTTACTAGAGGGCAAGGGTTAGAGTATAACAAATGGTGAATTATATTCATTCAGTATTTATTTTCCGGTTTCTTGGACTGTGATTCCTGAGGCATAGCTGCAGCAAGTTGAGAGGAGACTAGTGTTTTAAAAGGCAGGAGGTGCTTGGGAGATGATTGTGGGAAAGGAGTGGGGATAGGTGGGCAGAGTTGGGGGCCTTTGTGTTGTGAAGGCCGAGGGAAGTAAGAGCTGGGAGAGTGGGATAATGATGCAGCATAGCTTTCACCCCTCTGCGCTCACAGGCTGAGGACCTTTCTTTTCCTGATAGCATAACTAGTGAGAGGAGGCCTGGCAGCTGGAGGTCTTAACCAGTTTCTCCCCTTTGTCATTCTCTTCTTTGTTTTGATGTTCATGTTCAGAGGAATTGGAGCAGCTTGGGCATGAGAAAAGAATGTGTGTGTGCATCACGTGCATGTGTATGAACTTTTCCTTGGCCTGTTTCTGCACAGCCACCATAGTAGGGTGGTGATTTGGGCTGATGTGAGATAAGGAGACCAGGGCTTGGGAACGGGATTCTGGTGAGAGAGAGTATTATACTGGCTGGGAGTAAGGAAAGGAAGAAGACTTTCTTTAGAGTTTCTTAAACATAAGTTGGTCATACACTGGTCAAGTGCTGCCTGTTTTCTGCTTAGAAATACTTATGATTATGGACAGGAATAATGAAGCATCTTATGAAGCTATCTTGAGTTCAGTACTGTAGTTCTTGCTCAACTTCATTAGAAGTATAAACTCTTCTGATCCTACATTGTCTTTGCCTGTTTCCTTAGCTCCTAGTTACACATGACAAGCACTTGGTAAATGCTTTAAGACTAGGTTGTTAGAGATGAATTTTCTAGTGAGCTCTTCTATTACCTGTCAACATGAAAGTTAGAAATAGTAAAATCTGATGACAAATACTTTGGCTGATAATTTCTTGGAGACAAATGCCCTTAAGAAAACAAAACAAAACAAAACTTTATTTTGTAATAATGCCATTAAAAAAAACCCCTAATTTTTATTTTGAGAGAATTGTAGATTCGCTTGCAGTTGTTAAATAACAGTGATCTCGTGTCTTTTACCCATTTTCTCCTAATGGTAACATCTTGCAAAACTATAATACATACCACCATCAGTATATTGACATTGGTATATTTAAGATACAGAACATTTCCATCATCAGTTACCTGTGACATATTATCTGGGACAGCCACAACCACTTCCTTCCTGCTCTTACCCTGTCCTTAGCCCTTGGCAACCAGGCATTTGTTCTCCACTTCTATCATTTTGTCGTTTCAAGAATGTTATCTAATTGAAATCATGTCATTTGTAACTTTTGAGATTGGCTTTTCCACTCACCTTAATTCTCTGGTGATTTGTCCGGATTGTTGTGTGTCCCAATTGTTTTTTCCTTTATTAGTGAGTAGTAGTCCATCATATAATGAACTATTCACCTGTTGAAGGGCATCTGTATTATTTGCACTTCTTGGCTATTACCAGTAAAGCTGCCGCTAGTCATTCCTGTGAGGATATTTATGTGAACATATGTTTTTATTTTTCTGGAATAAATGCCCAAGAGTGCAGTCCTTTGTTGGATATGTGGTTTGCAGATATTTTCTCCCAGTTTTCACCTTGTCTTTTCATCTTCTTCAGAGAGCCTTTAACAGAACATAAGTTTTTAATTTTGATGAGATCTAGCTTATCAGCTTTTCCTTTTATGGATTGCACTTTTGGTGTCAAATCTAATAACTCTTTGCCTAGTCTTAGATCCTGAATATTTTCTCCTTTTTTTCCTCTCTCTTTTTTTTGTAAAAGTTTTATACTTTTGTGGTTCACAGTTGATCTATTTTGAATTAATTTTTGTATAAGGTATAAGATTTAGGTTGCGGTTCCCTTTTTTTTTTTTGTCCCGGATGTTCTAATTACCCTAGCACCATTTGTTGAAAAGATACCTTTCCTCTGTTGAACTGCCCTTTTTTGCATCTTTGTCAGTAAACTGTTGGGCATATTTATGTGGTCTTTTTCTGGGTTCTCTCGACCTGTGCATCTGTTTCTCCACCAATACCACACAGTCCTGTTTACTGTAGCTATGTGATAAGTTTGAAATTGGGTAAATTGTTTCTTCCTACCTTATTCTTTTTCAAAATTATTTTAGCTATTCTAGTTCCTTTACTTTTCCATATAAATTGTAGAATAATCTTGTCTGTGTCTACAAAAAATCTTGCTGTGCTTTTGATAGGAATTGTGTTAAACTTATATATTGATTTGGGAAGAATCGATATTTTTACTATGTTGAGTCTTCCAATCTGTGTACACAGTAAGTTTCTCTATTTATT